AAATCTTGGTGGACTAGGAAGTCTAGGGCAGGGGCCAAAAGGGGGTAAAGTTGGGGGCAATGAGAAGGCCAAAGCCGCCTTCTCCTCACCCCCCAACACAACCCTCTACATGGAGCCTGAGGGCTGCAGAGCCCCTGAAAGCTCCCTAGACACGGGCCCCCTCCTGCCTAGCACCAGCTGCCCTGGGTCCACAGCCTGCCCTGGCACATGCTGAGCCCCACCCAAGAGCTGTCCCTGGCCATAGCAGGTGCCCAGACAGCAGCAGAATGTGGGCAGGGGGTGGGCAGGCGGTGGGCCGGCCCCATCACGTACACCCCAGCAGCTGCGCCAAGTCCAGAGCACGCCCCAGCCCCTCAGCCTAGCCCGGCCGCGGCTGCCTCGGGCATGTCCAAGGAACAGACCTGCCTGCCTCACAGGCTGGGGAGCCCAGGGTCTGATTCCCTTGCTACCCACCCAGTTTTCATCCTGCCCCAGGCCTTAAATCTTATTCTCCTTAAGCCCCCCCACGTCCCTCAGCATAGGGAGAGCATCTTGCCCATTTGCCATCCTGGAAAAATTGGAAGGGAATTGAGAAGGGTGGGGCGGGGCTGGAGGAGGAGGCAGCTTTTTCCCTTTGTCAGGCTCCACCGTGGCTGGCAACGAGGTGATAATGCTCCTAATGGGTAGGGATAAGCAGGCGGATCAGTGTGTGTCAACAATAGTGGAGCAGGAGGGCTGCAGAGAGTAGCAGGCCTGGCCACGCTGGAGCAGTGGTAGAGGGCAGGGGGCCTGAGGGTTGGCGGACTATGCCCTGGGGCCTCCAGGGTGAGCTGGGGCCTCTTGGGCCTGGGTGCCCATGGCTATATGCCTCACTTCCAGGTCCCTCAGTCCCTCTTGGGCCCACAACAACCTCAAAAAGTAAAAGGACTTGTCTCATAGTCCCCCCCACCTCCATGCCCCAACTCCCTCATCTCTGCATCCAAGGCACAGCCTGGACTCCAGATCCCTTGGAGTCCTGATCTTAAGGATTCCAGCACCTTGTCCCCATTCTCTCTGCCCCCAACTACCCTGAAACTCAAATACCACATCCCATGGATCACCCCATGTACCTCCCTTGTACATCAACTCATGCCCCCCACGTGCTGGGAAAATAACCCCAGCCTGTCCACATATGCCCCCAATAGCGCTCCATATTTCCACACAGTCCAGACGGCCCCATCGAGCCCTGTGTCCTGTCCCCTGTCCTGCCTGGGAATGACTGCCTCTCCCTTGTCCCCTCCCTACCAGGTTGCCCACAGTGAGCACGTGGTCAAATTCGTCTGTCATGGGGTAATGCTCCATGGCCATGAAGAGGGTGTTGAGCACGATGCAGATGGTGATGCCCAGGTCCACGAAGGGGTCCATGACGATCAGGTGGATGATGTTCTTGAACTTCACCCATGGGGCGCAGCAGTTCCATATGAGCACTTTGTGGGCGCACTTGTACCACCATGGTGGGCATTTCTGGTGGGCCTCTTCCAGCTCTGGGAGTAGGGTGGAAGCAAACACGTGATGTGGATTCCCCTCTCAGGTGCTACCTTCCTCCACCTAGATATTTGGGAACCCCCCTCCCAAGCCCTGCTGCTTAGATCGCCACATCTCAAACCCACCCCTCAGGGCCACCTCTCAGTGCATCACCCTCTAGACTCTGGCCCCCCAAAGACCCGCCCCTTAGTGACTTTACCCCACACCCCTTCTCTCAATGGGCTATTTCCACCTTTGCCTTCTTGACACACCCCACAAAGCCCTGCCCCTCAGTGACTCCCACTCCTGCTAGTGGCCCAGGGCTATGATACCACATCCTGCTCTGGCCTTGCCAAGGGTCTCCAGTGAGTGGTGGGAGGTTGCTGCTGGGGATTGGGTCCCAGTTTCACCTGTGGCTGGCCAATGCCACTGGGGAGCAGACTGGGATCCTTCTGTGGGCTTTTTCTCACCTTGGCAGTAATGTTGGCCCCTCTAGATTGTCCCCATCCAGCCTGTCCTTTCCCACCAGAGTGCCTTTCTGGAAATATCCCCTGTTCTTGCCACTCTAGCTCTAAAGCCTATAAGGCCCATGGATGAAGCTGCTTCTCCTCCTGGACTTCCAGGCCTGTGCTGCCTATGGGAATCCTCAGGCTAGGCATGAGCTCATTTAATTACCACCAGAAATGTATAAGGTAAGTGCTACTAGTGCCTCCCACCTCACACAGCAGGAAAGGGGACTGGAGTGAGGGCAGTCCCAAGGACGCCTGGATTTGGTGCATGATTAGGACACCCCCACAAGGAGTTAGCAACCTGGACCTCTCTTAAAGGCTGTACATTCTAGTCTGACCTTAAGAGCCCCACCCCACCCCCAACCTGGGTGCTATTGCAGGTGTTACTGCCAAAACTTCTCACATCCACCCAGCAAGGGCAGTGTTGAGTGATCTCAGCCACCTCTGCCCAGCATTCCCTGGGGCATTCTCTGGCAGGGCACACAGATACCTGCATGCCTGTCATATAAGGTCAGGTGAGATGGTGCCCTCTAGAGGTTTGCAAAGTCCTCTGGGACCTCCAAGTCCCTCCTGGCACAAGGCAAGTGGCCTGGGAAGGGAACCAGATCTCTTCTATGACAGGTTTCCTTCCTTCCTTCTCTCGCCCTTTCTCTTTTCTTCCCTTCCTCCCTCCCTCTCTATACCCGTGTTTCTCCCCATTCATTAATCTTTCAGCCCAGCCAGCCAGCCATCATCTGTCCATCATCCTTCCATCCATTTGTGCGTATCTACCTACCCTCTCTTCATTACCTCCTCCTAACCTCCTCCTGAGACTTGGGGAGCAGCTTGGGGATCTGAGGGAGTCTGTGACTCTACCTGGGCAGAGTCTGACCTTTGGCCTTTAACTTCTACTCAGAAGACATCTGAGGAGCAGGATCTCCAGTTTCCGGAACTTGGGGCCTTCCTGGTTAGTGTTATTGTCCTGTCCTCCATCGCCTTGGCAGCCCCCGGGGCCCTCCCGGAAGCCCCCATTTCCCGTAGCAGCCTGGCCTTGCAGCCAGCTCTGTGGCAGGGTAAGCCAGGACTATATTTACCATGGCCATTTCTTCGATGCCAATATTAAGTTACTGTCCTTCTGAAGCTGGGCCCAGTCAGCCCCACCCCACCTCCTCAGGAGCCCGAGTGGCCTGGTGAGCAGGGCACGCGGTGTAGGATGGGCATGGGGGTGCCGGGCACTCACCTTCCATAGCATCTGAGAGGCCGCTGTCTGCGCTGCAGCTCGGCCTCGGGGGCCCCTTCTCCGCTGGTGACGTGTCCAGGCTGCCATTGCAGTCTTTGCCGTGGGCCGGGTCACCATCTGCCTCCCCATCTTCCAGAGCCTGGGCAGCCTTGGCCTGTGGACCAGCAGGGTGATGGGCATGAAGTCCATTTCTGAGCCAGAAGGATGGACTAATTGCCTTTTAGAGCTTCCTCACGAACCCTTTAGGATGGGAGCCTCTTCTCAGCCTGCACTGAGCCTAGTGCAGGTGAGAGGACAACTGCAATGGTGGCCCAAAGTGACTGAGGGTCCTCATCCTTGAAGACCCTCCGCTCTCTGAAGCCTTGACTGAGCCTGAACCTCATGAGATGATACGACAGCGAGCACTGCTCCCTGGGTCCTCATCAGGACCCGCTCCTCTCTTGACATGGACCCATATTCTGCCCAGAAGGAATCACAGAATCATAGATATTTAAGCTGGAAGGCTACTTCTGATTCCTTGTTACATACAGGGAAACTGAGGCACAGAGCTACAAAATACTCTTTCTCTGCCTGGATGTCTCCCATCTGACCAAAGCCCCCAGCCTGGGGCCTCTGCTCCCCCTGCCTCGGATCCCCCACCCCTTCCTCTCCCTCACCCTCAGCCTGCCTGGGGGAACCCAGGCTGAGGGGCGGGGAGATCCCTGGGTCCTCGGCCTCCTCTCTCTGAGTCCAGACCTTCTCCATCTCCTCCTGATGCTTCTTGAATTTTTCCAGCATCTGCTGAAACTCCTCTTCTCTCTCCTGATCCTCAGCCAGAGTGGCCTCGTTCTGCTCAGCATACGCCATGGCTACCACCGCCAGGATCAGATTGATGAGGTAGAAGGAGCCCAGGAAGATGATGACCACAAAGAAGAGCATGTAGGTCTTGCCAGCTGCTCGGAGGGTCTGGGAGCAGGGGCAGAAAGGAAGTAACCGCATGGCACCCTGCCCGCTTTCACTCACCACCCCCTCCACGGGCCCGTTGTCCAGATGTGTAAACAGAGGCAGGGGCTGGTCATCCTTGGCAGGCTAAACCACCTTCTGGGAAGCTTCCAGATGTATACTCGGGACCCAGACTTTCCTGGTCCCCTGGCTCAGAGGGCCTTGAGGACCCCAGAGGACCTTGAGGACCCCAGCCAGACATGGTGAGATCAGAGAGCCAGGATAAGAAATGGTGAACGTGGGCTTTGGGGTCAGTTTAAATCCTAGCTTTGCGATGGTGCCTGATGTCTAACAAGAGCTCAACAAAGAGCAGTTATTATTATTATTACTACTTTCATTAACATCACCAGTGCTAGAAACATCACCGGGGACCTGAAGGCTCTGTCGCTCGAGACTTAGCTGGCCTCTTCTGCAAATGGCAGGAGCTAAATAATTGTGTGGGTACAGCTGAATTTCTAAGCTGCCCTGCTGGTTACTGCAGGGACTGGGGGTCTGTGCCAGGCTCAGATCTCAGCAAAGATGCGGAAGGAAGAAGAGGCTGTGGCTCAGATCTGGGCAGGTACCCAATGTTGGGGGGCTCTAAGAACCTGTCTGTGTGTAGGGGCACTGAGGGGTCCCACAGGTGAGACGGCCCTGCTGGGGGGCCTGCCAGGCAATGAAGAGGTTGTGGGAATGCAGGGAGGTGGTTCCAGGGCTGGAGAACAGGGCGGGGGCAGCCGTACCAGCTGGAAGAGGTTCTCCCAGTAGTCCTGTGTCATGAGGCGGAAGAGAGACAGGAAGGCCCAGCTGAAGGTGTCATAGCTGGTGTAGCCGTAGTTGGGGTTCCGCCCGGCCTTTATGCACTCGTAACCCTCGGGGCAGCGCCTGGGGATGGTATGGGGCTGGTTTTAGGGATGAAGGAGAGCCCCAACTGGGGGGCAGGTAGGGGGGCCCCAAGGGGAAAAAATCCTTCAGTTCTGCCTGAGTCCCAAAAACGGGAAAGTGTTCCAGCCACACCTGTAGGTTCTCCTTACATTCCCTCCCCCCGCCCCAGGTCCTTGGCCCCAATCAGCCTCCATTTTCCCACTCCCCTGGGGCACCTTTTCCCATCGCCCAGCATCACTCACCCAGCGTCACTGCTGTTCCCACAGAGCAGGGCATCGAGGGCACCCTCCAGGTAATAGAAGTTCCCTTTGGGAGTCGGAGGCCACAAAGGAAACATGTCACCACATGAACACACTGTGGGCATGTGTACCCACTGCACACTTGGGTGGACCACACCAAGTGGATTCTCTCTGGGTACCCCTCCCCCTCCTTTAGGGACAACCCCACGTCCTAAGGTCTCTGGGTAGATACACTACAGGGCGCTCAGCTCCAAGCGGTGTCAGCTCAGTGCCTAGTGTGGCTGCATAGTCGGAACACAGCAGGGTGCAGAGAGGCGGGGGGACCTGGTAGGTGTGTGCACGGGGCTGCCATGTACCCGCGCAGGGCCCCTGACTGAGGGCTGAGGCTGGGGGCCGGGGGAGGCTGGACTCCTGGGTACCAAGCTGAATTTGCCAGAAGGCATTGTGTAGACTAATGGTGGCCATGTGAGAACATGTGTTTCGTGTGTATGAGTATGTAGATAGGATGTGGGTGTGTGAGTGCCTGGTGGTGGCCCTGCCAGGGAGTGAGTAGGTTAAGGAATAGGGAACATGGAACGTTGCTTTTTATAGTGGAAGCGTTAGGATTTTCAAAGCAATTTGTCATTTGCTGTCACATTAACCCTTTGAGAAAGGTGTTATCTCAGTTTTACAGGTGAGGACTCTGAAGGTTAGGGTTGCCCAAGCATTTATCTCACAGGGGGCTGTGCTCTCAGGGCTGGGACTGGTTGGCCTTCCAGCCTCCCTTCTTACCTTCATCATTGATGTAAGCATCCCAATCAAAGGTATAGTTGCTGGCCCGGCTCTCCTGGCTGTTCCAGGTGTCATTGCCATACCACGTGTCATTGCTGTACCACGTATCATTGCCATACCACATATCATTGTCATACCACGTGGTGTTGGTGTCGTTGAAGGGTGGGGGCCACCGCACACACTTCTGCCGCAGATTTCCCATGAAGAGCTGCAGCCCCACCAGGGCAAAGACACTCAGGCAGAAGACGGTGAGGATCATCACATCTGAGAGCTTTTTCACCGACTGGATCAGGGCCCCCACAATGGTCTTCAGCCCTGACCATAGGGTGGGTAAGAGCATGGACGGGGGAGCAGGCGGGGCGGCAACTCGCTCCTTTATCCCTCCAAGCCTCTGCCTACTCCATCTTCTTCAAGACTTGACCCACTAGGAACACCACTTCCCTGAAGCCTTCCCAAACTAGCCCGCCCTTCTCTGATCACATCCTAAATCAGGAGCCTTCGAATGGCCACAGAATCTCAGCCACTAGAAGAATGGACTATAAAGACTTCACAGGCTGCTGCCTGACTAATAGTGCAACACACACACACAGTGGAGCTTAATAAATGTTGCTAGGTAGGCATTCCCAAAGTGTGTTCCACAGAACACTAATCTCCCAAACTGTGCCGTTAAAAGGGGCATGGGGGGTTTCAATGTTTGGGAAAGGCCGAGCCGTATGTTCCGCTCTAGGAGAGTCACCTGTAAGGTCATCTTATCTAAGGCTTTGACAAATGCTCTAGAAACAAGCAAAAACTTTAATACCATATGCCCTTAACTTACTTGGTCACAGAGCCCCATTCTTTATAATGCCTGTTAACCCCCACGGAATATCGGGGTTCACTCTGAGAAGCTCTAGGCTGACTTTGCTCGACCATTGCATTCTGCCCCTTTGGACAGACAAAGGCATAAATAACTCATGGGATTTCGGGAACCCATTCCTTTCATTTATGGAAGAGCCACAACTTCCCTTGAGCCTAATTGTAGTGTCTCTCGCTTCCATGTTAGTTTATTTCCTTTTCTATCCTGGCATAGACAAGAGATGCTCAGCAGTCTCCTTATAAAAACCCTCCCGAGTTCCAAGGATGCTTGGAGTGTGGCATCAAGAAAAGGAGTTGTGGCCTTGGCTCCGTGGCCGACATGAGGTCTTCGGTAAGCACTTCCCCTTTTGGGGACTCTTGGTGTCTCCTTTCCAAACTGCAGTGCAAGGGCTTTGGTCTAGAGGAAAACTAAGGTACTTTCTAGAATCAAGACTGAACAATTTCCCCTCCTCCCAGAGCCTGCTCTCCATAAATCATCTTTCTCTCCTTTAATGAACCTTCTCCAGTTTCTCCGCACACTTTTCTGAGGGTCTGGATGATCTGGATTCTATTTATTTCCTGCTTCTTGATGTATTACTTTGGCATTGCCCGGCCCCATGGCTCAGGGGGCAAGCAGTGTGTTCCCTACGGAGCCCTCAGGGCCGGGACTTTCCACACTGATCCCTGTGTATCTCAGCTGGAGGTCGCTGCTTTGCCAAGTCTGATTATTTTATTTAACATACACGCCATGTACCCGGCAGAGTTCTCAGTACCTTATCGACTATTAAAGCATTTAATCCTCGTAACAACCGCATGCATAGCACTATTATTATCCACATTTTACAGACACTGAGGCACAGACAGGTTAAACCACTTGCCCAATGTCAAAATTAGGAAGTGGTGGAAGTGAGAACTGAGCACAGGCAGGCTGGCTCCAGAGTCTGTGTTCTATGCTGCCTCCTGCATGGGGCCCCTTCTCCTTTCTGGCCCTGGGAGCCCCTCTGTGCCCAAGTTTGGTGTGTGTTCTACACACATGGCCTGGGAGTCTTCTGACTCTGGGTAAGGCTCCTGGAACTTGAGTATCGGGTTCTGGGCCTGGGCCTGGGCCTGGGGGTGG